TGTGTTCACAAAGTTGTGCCAAGAAACCTGGAGGACAGCCACTTGGCCAACTGACTGGAAGAGATGGATATTTGTTCCCATTCCAAAGAAAGGTGACCTGACAGAGTGCCAAAATTATTGAACGATATCATTAATAACACATGCAAGCAAGATTCTGCTGAAAATTATCAAAAAATGACGGGAGCAACATGTCAACAGAGAACTGCCAGATGTGCAGGCTGGAGGCCATGGTACCGGGATGTCATAACTAATGTTAGATAGACCTTGGAAGAAAGAAGAGTATCAGAGGAATGTCTATCTGCTTCATTGACTATGCAAAGGCTTTTGGCTGTGTGGATCACAACAAGCTGTGGCTGACTCTAAGAAGAATGGAATCACAGAAGATTTGATTGTGCTTTTGTGAAACTTATACTTGAACCAAGAAGCAGTTGTCAGAACAGCAAGGAGACACTGCATGGCTCAAAATTGGGAAGGGTATCCACCAGGGATGTTTTCTGTCTCCATACTTGTTCAGTCTGTGTGCAGAACAGATCATCTGAGACCCTGGGCTGTACGAGGAGGAATGTGGCATCAGGATTGGAGGAAGATTCATCAAAAACCTGCATTATGCAGATGACACAATCCTGTATGCTAAAACTAAAAAGGACCTGAAGCACTTGCTGCAGAAGGTTAAGGACTGCAGCCTTCAATATGGATTAAAGCTCAGTATCAAGAAAACAAAGATTCTCACCACTGGGCCAGTTGGCAGCATCTGTATGGCTAGTGAAGAGATTTAGTGTTAGCAGTTTTATTTTGCTTGGCTCCACAGTCAACACTCTTGGTACCAGTAGCCAGGAAATCAAGAGACGAATTGCATTGGGAAAGTCAGCTGTGAGGGCCCTCTCAGGAGTACTGAAGAGCAGTGACGTCAGGCTGGAGACTAAGATGCACCTGATATAGGCCATAGTCTTCACAATTGCATGCTATGCATCAGAGAGCTGGACAATGACTAGGGATGATAGAAAGATAATTGATGCCTTTGAGCTATGGTGCTGGAATATACCATAGACTGCTAGGAGAACAAACAGGTTGGTCCTAAAGAGGGTGAAAGCGGGCTGCTCCTTGGAGGCAAAGATTCTGAAGCTTCATCTGACATAATTTGGGCATGTTCCAGGAGTGACTAGTCCTTGGAGAGGGCCATCATGTTTGGGAGGTGGAGGGACAACACGAGAGGAAGAACCCTCGATGAGATGGATTGATTCAGTGATTAGAGTAATGGGAGTATGTGTTTCGGAGACAGTGAGCTTGGCAAAGGATAGACCAGGGTTTAGGGCTCTTGTACGTAGGGTCACTATGAGTCACAGGTGACTTGACAGCATATAACAACAAGGACAGATTTGTTCTATTGCCAGTCCATGGTATGTTCAATACTTCTTTCCAGCCCCACAATTCAAAGGCATCAATTCTTCTGTCATCCTTATTCATGTCCAGCTGTCAGATGCATGACAATCAATTTAAAAGATCGTAATGTACTGTCCTTAATTTATTTTTATATTATGTCATTCTAACGAAAATTTACGGAAAGGTTGACGATTCATTCATTATTGCACATTTTTTCCCTTCCTCACCTCTTGTTTCCGTTTCAATTGTCATACATTCCTTGTAGACAGTCCTTCCCCTCAGCTATTCTAGCACATTGTTTATTTTCTCTTTCACCAACTCCCCACCTATCAGTCTTTTTTTATAACAGTGGTATTATGTGGTATTTTTGTGAACAAAAAATTTCACTCTGCATAATGTCTTCCAGACTCACTCAAGTTGTGTATTGTTCTACTTTTCAGGGCTGCATAATACTCTATTTTGTGGCTCTTCCATAGATTTTTCTGACCATTTTTATGTTGGACTGCTTCCATCTCTTTGCTGTTTTGAATAAAAGAACAATAAACATAGGTGTGCATACATCTTTTTGTATCATGGCTCTGGTTACATTAGGGTATAATCCCAGTAGTGATATAGCTGATTTAAATGGTATTTCTATTCCCCACATTTTTCCTTTAGTAAAAATTTATTTTTATTCAGCACTTGCTTTGTACCAAGATTATGTCACTTTGTTCTCTTAATAGGAAGTTTTGTTTTGTTTTCTTTTTTAATTTATTATTTATTTCAGTAAAAATTTACAGAGACTTTGGATTTCCATTCATTCATTGTTGCACTTTTCTCCCCTCCCAACCATACCCCCAGTACACTACCTTCTTGGAAAAATAAAAGAAAAATTTTTTCATTGCTTTACAAACCCTCCCCCAGGGTGTCTCAACCATGTAGGCTTTGCTCTGGACTCCTGTCATGACAAAAATACCTAATCACATATCCCTTTTAAACAGTTTTCTCCCTCATTTGTTTCAATGCAGTATGCATTATTGAACCCATCCTTCTTAGTCTCCCCCCAACCCCAATGTCAGTCCTGTTTTATAACAGTGGCACCATGCAGTATTTGTCCTTTTGTCACTGAGATACTTCGCTCAGCATAAAGTCCTCCAGGGTCACCCATTTTGAATAATATTGCATGAGTTCCTTGTTTTTCAATGCAGCATAGTATTCCATTGTGTGAAAATACCACAGCTACTCTATCCATTCCTTTGTTGATGGGCACTTGGGTTGTTTCCAACTCCTTGCTATTGTGAACAAAGCTGCAGTAAACATGGGTGTGCATATATCTGCTTCGATGTCAGTTGTGGTCTCCTTTGGGATATATTCCCAGTCGTGGAATTGCTGGGTCAAATGGTGTCTCTATTTGCAACTTTTTGAGAAAGCGCCATACCGCCTTCCACAGTGGTTGCACCATTTTACACTTCCACAAACAGTGAATAGGGGTTCCAGTTTCTCCACAATCTCACCAGCATTTGTTGCTTGCTGTTCTGTTAAATTTTGCTATTCTGATTGGGGTGAGATCATATCTCATAGTTGTTTTGATTTGCATCTCTCTCAGAGCTAGCGATTTTGAACATTTCTTCATGTGTTTGTTCACCATCTTAATGTCATCTTTGGTGAAGTGTCTGGGAATTTACCGTAAAGAAACAATAACTGCCACCCAAGCAGATATATGCGCACACATATTTATTGCTGCTTTTTTCACAATCGCAAAGAGTTAGAAACAACCCAAATTGCCCATAAGCAAACGAATGGATAGAGAAACTGTTGTATATTCACACAATGGAATATTATGCAGCAAAATATGCACTGAAAAAATAAAGATCCTAGGAAAGATACAAAATTGGTGACGATGGAGGACATTATGCTAAGTTACATATCTCAGTCATAGAATGCTGCATAATGCTACTGTTACAGAACAGGACTGATACGGGGTTGGGGGAAAACCAAGAGAGTTTAATTAATGTATACTGCATTGAAACAGATGAGAGAGAGAAGTGTTTGAAAGGAATAATGATTAGGTATTATTTTCATGACAAGAGTCCAGAATGACAGCTTCATGGGGGAGTGGACTTGGGGTTGGCAGGGGGATTGTATAATAATGAAAGTTGGGGTTTTGTTTTTTGGGTTTGTTTGGGGTGTGTGTGTGTGTGTGTGTGTGTGTTTTCAAAGAGAAAAACCAGCGGTGGGGAGGGCCGGGCAGGGAGGACAGTGTGCAGCTATGAATTAATGGAAATCCAATGTCTCTATAAACTTTCATTAAAATTCCAATTTAAAAAAAGGATAAATAATGTACATGGCATTGAAACAGACGAGGGAGAGAACTGTATAAAAGGAATAAAAAGCAAGGAGACAAACATGGTTCAAAATCAAGAAGGGGGTCCGTCAGGTATCTATTCTGTCTCCATACCTTATCAATCTGTATGCAGAACAGATCATCTGAGACGCTGGGCTGTACGAGGAGGAATGTGGCATCAGGATTGGTGGAAGAATCATCAACAAACGTGCGTTACGCAGATGACAAAACCCTGCTTGCTCAAACTGAGGAGGACCTGAAGTGCTTGCTACAGAAGGTCAAGGACTGCAGCCTTCTATATGGATTGAAGCTGAACATCAAGAAAACAGACTCTCACCACCAGACCAATTAGCAACATCAGTATGGATGGTGAAGAGATTGAAATAGTTAATAGTTTTCATTTATTTGGTTCCACTGTCAACACTCTTGGTAACAGCAGCCAGGAAATCAAGAGACGAATTGCATTGGGAAAGTCAGCTGTGAGGGACCTCTCAAGAGTACTGAAGAGCAACAACGTCAGGCTGGAGATTAAGGTGTTCCTGATGCAGGCTACAGTCTTCGCAATTTCGTGCTATGCATCAGACAGTTGGACAGTGAATAGGGATGATAGAAAGAGAATTGATGCCTTTGAATTGTGGTGCTGGAGAAGAGTGTTGAATGCTAGGAGAACAAACAGGTTTGTCCTGGAGAGGGTGAAGCCGGAGTACTCCTTGGAGTCAAGGATTCTGAAGCTTCGTCTGATATACTTTGGGCATGTTGCAAGGAGGGGTCCTTGGAGAGAGACATCATGTTTGGGAGAGTGGGGGGTGGGGGCGGTGAAGGAGAGGAAGACCCTCAATGAGATGGATCGATTCTGTGATTGGAGTGGTGGGAATCAGTGTATTTGTGATGGCGAGGTTGGCACAGGATAGAACGGCATTTACGGCTCTTGTACCTAGGGTCACTGTGATTCACAAGTGACTTGCGCACACATAATAAACTACAATTACTGTCATGATAAGCATCTAGAGTAAGAGTTGCATAGTTAAGTGGTTGGGGACACACACAGAACAATGATAGAACTGTTCTTCCAAAGAAAAAAGCAAACTGGGGGAGCAAAAGGGGCAGAGAGGAAAATGTACAACAATGAATGAATGGAAATCCAAGTTCTTTATAAACTTTCATTAAAATCTGGCATTTCAGTCTCTATATCTGTAAGCATTTTATTCATACTGAAAATCATTTTGACAGAAAACTCTCCTGATAATCATTCTTTAAGATTACAGTGAAATCACTAAGTTCTTTATTTTTTTTTTAGGAGTTCCATCTGGAATATGACAAATTAGAAGAACGGCCTCACCTGCCATCCACTTTCAACTATAACCCTGCTCAGCAAGCCTTCTAAAAAGACTTCCCTTTTCTTGGGGTATGGCTGTCTCAGCACAATACTCAACATAACTGCAGAACTGATGTGGCTCAGGCACCCTGGTTTTAATTCCTTGAGGATCTGGCAATTGGCTTATGCAAAGGGTCACCATTTGAGGTCCTGCCTTACTAATTATGTGCTGCCCAACATCTAAATTTGTAATTTTTTTTTTTTTCTAGTTTGAGCAGGGTCTGAATTTTTTTTCATTTCTTTTTGCCAGCAGACAGACTTGGTCTGTAAAGACACGCAAGTACACTGAAAGAAGTTTACCAGTTAGTTTCTAAAATGTAAAAAAGAAAACCCACAAAAGACTCAGCAAAATTAGACCACAAAATTTTCATTGTTCATTGTAGCACTATTGGTAATAAAATAACAAATGTTTGTGCATTTTTATGTGAGGATCCTTCTCGTATTTCATTTGGAAAGATGAGCAAGGTCTGCTTCCTTCATTTTACTTCCCCTTCTGTTTATGAAAGGCAGTTTCGCCAAGCTTAATGCAGAATATCTGACTGTTTAGAAGAAAGATATTGCCACAATCTCTGGACGGTTTCCAGGGTTGTGTTATTACTGAGCTTCATCTTTCCAGAATGAGCAAAACACTGTCCAGTCTTTGTTACGATTTTGTAATAAATGTGTACATTTTTTTTAAATTTTTGGACATCACATGAATAAAGGTATGTATGTACGAATGTGTATATATTATATATATGACATCTATTTTGGAAAATGTTTGCCCTGCTGTACCTCATTTTTAGGAGGTGTGCATGGATGCAATATATGAAAAATGGGACATTCTGGAACTGCTGGTCAGGGGACTTTGTCGCCCTGCATATTAAAGGGCCAGATTTTCAGCAGCCAAGGACATCCATACCCAAGTGAATGTGATGGGACTTAAAGAAGTGAACTGAGACAATTCACTCTGGCTGTTTGAACAGCAGCGTTTCATAGGAAGAGAAAAAAAAAAAAAGATCAATCTTGTATTTTCTGACCACATAAAGGCTTCTTCTCTTTGTAATAAAGTAGAAAAGCTCTCCTCACTCCAGTGTTGACTTTGATTTGAAATTGTGACATCATTTCTTCAACTTCACAAATAGAGGGGATAAAAAGACATTTTACAAATATTAAACTGAATGGTGACTAAACAAATTCTTTTTTTCCCAACTTTTGCCAAATGATGTAATGGAGCGTGCACCATTTTAGCTTATAGTTAAAAACATAGGTATTCTTAGTCTTAGACAAGTTTAGAACATAGAAAACTAGTTTAAATGGGATTTAACAGCACTAGAAATAAAATGCCATAACTACTCTTGAGACCGAATCAGAATACTTTCTTTTATGAGAAATTTTTTGGGATTTATCTCTAAGATAATATGCAAATTACAGTAAGCCAAAAAGGGGGGAAGGATAGAAAATACATCTTCAATTTGTTGACCTGGATATTTATGACTTATGGATTACGGATTCTTTTCCATCTAGAGACATATAATGTATTTTAAAATGCTTGAAGGCTGAAGTTACCAAAGGAGAACTAGAGATGGGGCACTGGGAAGGGTGGGAATTGTGAGAGTTAGTTTATTTTAACTTTCATCTTAACCTATATTTCTATGTAGAGTAAAAGTTTGTTGACATTTACCAAATCATGTTTGAATATGAAACATTTATGACACTGCTGTGTTTATTGTATCAGGAATTTAAAATCACTTAAAATTTAACTTTTGCTATGTATTTTAAAATATAAAAAGCGGACATAAAAGTATCAAGATTTTTTTATCTTTCAGAATTAAACCAAAGCATCTCCTCAGTAGGAAAGATAGTACTTAGGTAATTGCAGTTTTGAGTATTGTACAAAATGTCTTCACAGAACACTATACCATACTTGACAAAAAGTAATATCTTGGAAATTTATTTCTTTGTTTTCTTTTCATAATTATTCATTTTTTTACAACATTACGTTTTCCTACAAAAGTATTAGAAAGGTGATGGGAAGGAAAAAAAATGGAAAGGAACCATTATGAGTACACATTAACAAAGAATCTAGATGAAAATCTCCCTTGAAGCATGATCATGATTATTACAGTGTATGGATGACTCCTAAAGACAAGGTAGCCCTTATCAAGTGGTTAATTGTCTTAGTTCTGTTTTGTTTTGTTTTGTTTTAAACTGCTATATTCAGAGTTGTAAGTGCACTTTTTTTAACTTAAATCTTCCTGAGTTATTTTTACCCTGAGCCATGAAAACAAGAGAGTCTTGCATGTAAACCAATTGTCTCGACTTTGACTCCAAGTCTAAAAATTTTATTTGAAATCTTGAAAATACATTAAACTTTTTTAATATAACATTGTTATATTCCTTGGTTTTATGATTTGTGGTTAAATGTGTACAGAAGTTGACGTTAATGAATTCTATTTCACATTTTCTTTCTTAGGTTAATTTTAATAGTATTGCCCCACGTAATTAGTGACATGGTTGTGTACACTATCTTAAGTAAGTTTCAAGTTAAAACATAATTGGCTTTCTGGAAACAAAAGCTGGTTAGTTGGAGAGGTAATTCCTTTAAATTTCTTATTTGTATGTATTTATTTGTAATTGACAGACTTGATTTTTCGTCATGTTTGCGAACAATTGCAAAGGATATGGTATATCCCTCTTATTTGTATGTATTTATGCTTCTCATGGCAGTACTATAATTTTATGATAAAATTTCCATTTTTCAGGGATTTTTTCTTGCACATATAGTTTTCCTTAAGTATAAAAATTCTAAGAACTGAAAGTTTATTTGAATCCTTATATATAAAGCCAGACACTTTCAATGGTCTTTTCCTATTTGCCACTGAAATTCAGACACCACAGGTGCTTGATGAATACTTGTTCATTGAATGGTATGAATTGAGAATTCAATTTGAAAATAAAATGTATGTATTAAAGCATTGAGCTTTGAATATATTTACTATCTTTTGCAATAATTTCATTTTCACAATAATTTCTTTTCAATTCCATTTCAAAACCATCTACTTTTTCCTATGCCATCTGAGCACAGATGGCTGCAAAGGAGTATTAGTTTATTTAATTTTTTTCTGTGATGTTATGTTTAATCAGTTTTGCAAAAACTTTGCTAAAAAAATTCATGTGTGTAAAAAACAGAGTAAAAGAGTACATTAGTATTGAACGGAAGTGCCATCGAGTTGGAAGTAACTCAGCTGATCCTCCATGTTTCTGAAGCTTTAAATTGCAGAAGAGAAGATTGCCCATCTTTCTTCCGTGGACTCTCAGATTCTAACTGCTGGAGAGGCCTGGCATTTGGTTTGACAACACAACTCCCTCCAGGCTTTAACTCCAGGACTCTGTAGGCCTACAGATACTAACTAGATTCTATTTAGAAAGTCTCTAGAAAATAGGACATGATTTTCAGTGTCTTTATTTTTTTAAAGCAGGTTTCTAATGATATCATGAGGTGAGACAACTAACTAGATCGTACCATTCATACGTTAATAAATTCAGGAGATGAAGTAAAGTTCAAAACTGAGATCTCAGTCAAACCTTTTAATTTTATATATTGACTCACATAGGCTATATTAAATCAGGATTATTGGGTTTTACTCTAATTGTTAAAACTGTAACAAAGGATTGGTTTATATGTAGGTAAATGTGAATTGTGATCTGCTGGCAAATTACTAATGTAATCTTAGGCTACATTAAGTGTTCGGAAAAAGAAAATACAGGAAGCCTGTTATATTTGAAATGTTCACGCAAACCGTTTGAATGTCCAGGTCCAGTGTGTTGTATTTTAAGAATCGCCTTGATAGGGGAAGTAGAAGACCTGGGAGATGGGTCTTGCTTACCAGCTACCAAGCAATATACCAAGTGTTTTACATACCCTATTGTACCTTTTCTGTAGGACTATAAGATATATTTTACTATGTACATTTTAAAGATTAGATTTTAAATGCCAGGCAAAAAGTGTGTAGTAAATGACGTCGTTGTTGTGTACCATAGAGTTGGAATCAACCCATAGCTGACCCTCTGGCAGGTTTTCAGAGGCATTTCATCGCATGGAAGGAGATTGTCTATCCTTATGTGTAACAGCTGGTGGCCTCGAACCACGTGCCTTCGGGATCCAGTGCAGCTTCTTGCCACTAATTTTTTTTTAACATACCTTTCTTCTTTCATTTAAGAGTTGTATGTAAAAACCAAGTGTAGCTCACTTACATGACTGAGGAGAGCTGAGGTTAGTGAAAGGAAGATCTCAATGAGGAAAAATTAACTGATAATATTTATTTCTGATTTGTAATTTTATTATAATTGACCTCACTTTATAGAGCATAATCAAGGGTAGACCGACCAGTGTTTTATGTACAGGTAAGAAGGACAGTTATTGGAAGTCATGACAGCTCTCTCCAAATATCGGAAGGACTTAAATTAGAGAAGAAAGCTCAAATCAGCAAGTTTAGTAAACAGATATTTAATCTCTGTCTCTTATAGACATTGGCTGCTTCATAAAATAAAGACCTTATCAATAAAAATAATCAAGCGCAAACTGATTGGCTGTCAGGAGTGCTATTGACAAGATTGCTTTTTTGAGTAGAAGTTTGACTTGGGGAATTTTGGTCTCTTGAGTTCTTCCAGATGGTCATATCCTTTTCTTGGTCTGAAATTGTGTATGATGTCATCAAGAGCTAGAAGGTATATACTTTACAGCACTCAACCAGTCTATGGAATGCTGTTATGTGAGTCATAGAACTGACTTAAATTTAAAGGTTTACTTAAAATCACTACCCTATCTTTTGAAAGAAATTTTTTAAAGCTTACTAAAGACAATTGTATTACGTTTTCCTGCTTTTTATACATGTGGAACACAAAATTATTACTAAATCATATGTATGTGTTAATTTATTTTCGGATTTCTGTTAATTTTACATTTAAAAGAGAACAACATTTGTAATGTTTTGAAGAAAATGTTTAGCTTGAAATTACAAAGTGGATTGATACCCTAGCTCCTGTTTTTGCTACAAAACTAATCATATAGAATATGTAATATTCCCATTTCATTTGTTGTAATGTCTCACCAGAGTTAAAATTATCTTCTCGTTAGGTAAATGTGCATGCTGTTGTATACTGTTGAGGCAGAACTGGTCCTTAGCTAACACTCTGGCAGGTTTTTAAAAGCAGTAAATCACACTTGAAGAGATTTCCCATTCTTCCCCTGCGTAACAGCTGGGACTTCAAACTGCATAACTTTGCATTAGTGTTGTTTCTCAAGTTGCATTACTGAGAGATGTTACAGGCTATATCTTGAATAATCCAGGAGTCATCAAAAGAAGATGGAGGGGATACACAGAATAACTAAACACAAGAATTGGCCTACAGTGAACTAATTCAGGACGTACCATATGGTCAACAGGCAGTCATTTGAAGGAAGACGTTTAAGCTGCACAGAAAGCATTGGGCCCCAGGAATCAATAGGATACTAACTGCCATGTTTCAATAAGCAGATGTAGCCATAGATGTTGTCATCAGTCTATGCCAGGAAATTTGGAAGATAGCTACCTGACTGGTTGGAGATCCATATTTGTTCGCATTCACAGGAAGGTGATCCAACAAAATAAGGAAATTATCAGAGTTAATGAAGAGATTGAGATTGTTCACAGCTTTAGTTTGCTCGGCTCCACAGTCAACACTCTTGGCACCAGTAGCCAGGAAATTAAAAGGTATATTGCCATGGAAAAGTCTGCTGTTAGGGACCTCTCCAAAGTACTGAAGAGCAGTGGTGTCTCTCTGGAGACTTAAGGTGTGTCTGATACAGGCCAAGGTCTTTGCTATCACTTATTATGCATCAGAGAGTTGGACAGTGACTAAGAAGGATAGAAGGAGAATTAATGCCTTTGAGCTTTGGTGCTGGAGAAGAGTATTAAATGTACCATGGACTGCTAGGAAAACATTCATCTTGGAGAGGGTTAAATTGGGCACTCCTTGGAGGCAAGGATCCTGAGGCTCCGTCTAACATACTTTGGACATGTTGTAAGAGGGACCAGTCCTTGGA